CACCCAGGCCCAGGCCTCTGGTTCCTGACTGCCATTTGCAAACCAAGAGAGGACCACAGTGAAGAAGTTTTTATAGTTGGGGAATTATTAAAGCATTCCTTGTGCAAAGAATGTGTTGATTTCTTCATGTTTAATTCCAGATATATTCGGAGGCACCTGGGTGGCTCAGTCAGTGAAGCGTCCAACTCTGGCTCAGGTCATGATCTCACGGTTTATGGGTTCGAGTCCCGCATCGGGCTCTGTGCTGACAGCTAGCTCAGAGCCTGGAGCCTGTTTCGGATTCTGTATCTCCCTCTCTCTCTGACCCTTCCCTGCTCACGCTGTCTCTCTCTCTCTCTCAGAAATAAATAAAACATTAAAAAAATTTAATTCCAGATATATTCCTACTATATACCTAGTATAGTAGGAGTGCTAGAGTAGGTACTAGAAGGAAGATAAAACATAACTATTGTTCTCGAGGTGTTCATCAGCTGCCTGGAGAAGCAGAGACATCCACAAATAATGAGTACAATGAATGAGTGGATAAATACAATGGATAATGAAATGGGTAATAAAATCTACAAGTTTTGGTTTGAAACAGTATCATGATCCCAGTTATTCCTCCAAAGCCAACAATTTCTTTTTGCTTATTTATTTTGAGAGGGGGAAGGGGCAGAGTGAGAGGGAGAGAGAGAGAGAAGCCCAAGCAGGCTCCTCGCTGTCAGCACAGAGCCCAGGCGGGGCTTGAACCCACGAACTGTGAGATCATAACCTGAGCCAAAGTCGAGAGTCTGATATTTAATGACATTTAACTGACTGAGCCATCCAGGTGCCCCCAAAGCCAACTATTTGAGTAAATAGCCCAATAAAGACTATTAATCACAGCTATCCTCTATCAGCACCTCCTCATATAAGTTTTAGCATGAAAAATGAAGGTCCCGGCGCCTGGGTAGCTCGGTTGGTTGAGCGTCTGACTTTGGCTCAGTTCATCATTGCCCAGTTTGTGGGTTTGAGCCCCGCGTAGGACTCTGTGCTGACAGCTCAGAGCCTGGAGCCTGTTTGGATTCTGTGTCTCCCTCTCTCTCTGCACCTCCTCCATTTGCACATGCACTCTCTCTCTCTCTCTCTCACAAATAAATAGTAACAAATGAAATCTGGCCATGTGTAGCAACATGGATGGCACCTAAGGGTGTTATGCTGAGCGAAATAAGTCAGTCAAAGGACAGATACCATATGTTTGCACGTATAGGAGGATGAGGAGGAACTTAACGGAGGACCATGGCGGAGAGGGAGGGAGGCAAACCATGAGAGACTCTTGAATGCTGAGAACAAACTGAGGACTGATGGGGGTGGGGCAGAGGGGAAAGGGGGTGATGGGCATGGAGGAGGGCACTTGTGGGGATGAGCACTGGGTGTTGTATGGAAACCAACTTGACAAAAACTATTAAAAAAAAATAAAAATATTAACAATGAAATAATTTTTTAAATGAAGGTCATATTTATGGGATAATAAAACGGAATCGATTTTGTCTTATGAAAATATATTTTTTTAACCCTGATTATATTGTCCTTTTCTTGTTTTGGCAAAGACTGGTGAAAACTTCACCACAGACGGACACAAGTCTGAAGACCACTGTTCAGAAACCTCAGGAGACTTATTTTGTAAGGTCCCTTCTGGCTCAGACATTCTAGGATTAAAATAAGGATCATTAGGATCTACTTTCCCTCTCAGTGTGTTAGTCTTCAAAATAGCTGACTATTTGGATGCCTAGAACGGCCCTTTTGCACAAGCACCATGAGCTCCAGTATTGGTGCCCTACTTGGCCTCACTCTTTGATTTTTCCGAATTTATCTCTCCTTCTTACCCTGCCTGCCGAACTCCCACATCATCTCCTCCCCACAAGCACACACATATACCCATTCACCAAAATCACGTAGGAAAATCAGGGAATGCTTTTTAAGGATTTCATTAATGGCTTAATGAGTTATAGTTTGATTTTGCATATTTAACATTCATGAAAACATTCTTAAGCCAAAGGATGGCATCTTTAGTGGTCATTTCTCACACGTAAGAAATGTAGATTTTTAGAGTTCAGTAGGTAACTTACTGCTAGTCTAAATCTTCTCCCGGAGCGAAAAGGAAAGCAGGTTACTATAAAATTGTCCATACCCAGGGATCCTGTAAGCTCACCCTTTAGACTCTACTGTGACTAGAAGCACTAAACCTGACGACATTGAGGCAACGGAACTGCGCGAGGGAAAGTAGCAGCAGAGACCCGCCCCAGAGTGGGAGGGGCGAAGGAGAGGTCTGGGGAGCAGCCCCCCCCGCTCCACCCCCGGCGGGCTGGCCCCTCCCCTCGCAAGAGCCCCTTTTTAAAAGGCGCGGGCCCTCGTAAACCTAGTCGCGCATGCGCAGTGGTGGTGGGATGGCGGAATTGCTCTCTTTTGCGGTTCCCACCGAGAGTGACAAAACCTTGCTGGTGTGGGAGCTGAATTCTGGACCCACGGCCGAGGCCTTGCATGTGAGTCGAGCCAGGATGGAGGGAGGGATGGGAATCTTCGAGTCTGGCTTTAGCCCCTCGCGCGCCTTGTAGTCTCCGCCGAAAGGAATCTTAGTTCTAGAGGCGACCTTTGCAGTTGCATGCTGCCTTCTAATGCTTCTCGAATCTTAGGATTTCAGAGAGAAGTCTGTTCATGAAATGAGAAGTATTTTGGGTTGCCTGTGCAGGAGGGCTTAGGGAATATAAGGGAATGGGCATGAAATTTGTTTCCTGGGCGTGAAATTTCATGCACTTAACCTGGCGTGGGACCACCTCACAGCATTCTCTGTTCACAGTCTTCTCCCAGT